GCGGCGCGCACTTGATTGTACGCACTGCACTATTCATGTACTGTATTTTCGTTGAGGAACTGAAAGAATTGTTGGTCTCCAAGCCAAAAGTTGAACCTGGAACATTGAGGCATTTTAACAACTCAGTCACACCATTTAGTTTAAAGGAAGTTATATATGATAAATTATTCCCAGAAGATTCTGTTGTGGTCATTATCCCTCAGTTTGCATTCTGACTTTCTGTGGTTACACCAACCACTGAATTCTGCAGGATGTGGACAAAAAGTATCAGCATTCCTCTCTTGTTATGCAGGTAACATAATAATCACTACGCTTCCTCCCATCAAAACAGAAGGACTCTGCAAAAGTGATGTGGAGGATCTGATGAATCGCACACGGGCCACGATGCTGGAAGCATTCACCGTCACATCAAAGGAAGTACAAGCAGCAGCATTAATGAAAACCCCGAGCTATTAAGTGCAGTAACTTGCGAGGAGGAAAGTGGTGTGTCAGTGCATGATCACAGTGAAGATAATGTCATATGTTTAACCTTTATCGTCTGGATGTAGAGCTGTCTCTACTACAGAACTGGAAACCAGATTTAAACTTAGTGGTAATGGGATTTATATTGTAAACAGTGTATGAGCAGGCCTGCTGAGGCCTCCTGTACCAGTGTGTTTACCATCACAGTTGCGTGACCCACGGACAATAAATGTTAAATGCAATGAATTTACATGTAATGACCGAGTGTGAGTAACTTCTCAGTGGGGACTTTCTGTGTTGAAAGGATGTCATGTTAATATGAACCATTAAATTCACATAACGGTAGTTATTTATCCCTGGGCAGATACTTAGCTAAATAAGTTCATGGCAGAGGGTTATTTCTGAAACTTGGGAGTTATTTAGATGATCAGAAAATTCCCTGCCTTTATTGAACCCGAAGGTTCATAATCATGTTCACCATCCTCAGCCATCTGAATCTTATAGTTTGAGATGAGCACGGGGCTAATGATCCCTCACTCTAATGAGATTTATATGGCTCATCATTGTTGATTGCACTGTGATAAACGTTACAACAAAGGTTTTAGTCTTACTCTATTCCACAAGTGATGATAACAAATGAGACCTTTGTTAGAAATATTCTTTATATCAGGTTTTTATAGTATGAACTAAACCATTTTTAAACAGCACATTTCAGTTTTGGTTGCATAAGAAGGAGAGTGAATCTAAGTGGGATTAAAATGTCCTATGATGGACGCTATGGATTTTGCATCAGGTTCTCCTATAAAAAATTTAATATGTGAATGTAATACACAAAGTGAGTCTGTTGGAAAACTAGCCAGGAAATCCACTCCCCTCCATTTAATTACCTTGAAAACCATAATGTTTGTGGGAAAATTGTATTGGACATAAAATAGTGTCATTTTTCTCAGTAATTTTGTTTGAAACATTTTTTTACTATGATAAATGTGTAAAGAGTTGCACTAAAGATGCACACAGAAATCATTATTGAGTTTGACATAAAATGAACATTATTGTTGCCTGATTTTAATCAAAACTGAAATGTGTTAAAAAATTTAGTAAATTTCATGAAAAGATGTGTTCACTTATTCTCTAGTTGTTATATATATATATATATAGACAGACATGGCAAAGCTGAATAGCTCATTTTGTGCTTCACTGAATTTTACATTCTCACAGTGTGACTATGAATAGTGCTTCTGGGGTCACATCTCAAAGCACATTTTGTACTAATGTTCATAACTTATTTTTAGTCCTGGCTGCATAAGATCCAAAAATGAGACTATGAAGTTTTGTTTAGTATAGTCTTAGGGAAAGAATTTATTTAATTATATTCAGGTACTTTACTGCAGTTACAAATTATATTTTAAAGGCATTTTTTCCACTTGCTTTTGGCAGTTGCCCATGTTATTAGTTAGTGGCATACTGTATAAAATTTTCAAGACATTGATGTGTCATTCCATGCTGAAGGTTAATATTTTCAGTATTCTGCTGCCCTTTTTTATAAGTTAATTGAAACAGTATTTCATAAGATACTACCTATAATTGTGATTGGTGCTTGCTGGTTGTTAGTTGCCAGACATTTTTGTCAACTATGGGCATCTCTAGCTTGAAAATGAAAGGTAAATGTAAAGTTGTCCCTGTGCTTAACTAATTAAGCACTATACCATGAAGATGTATGGGGGAGTGGATATGTAGATCCACGTTTTCTTGACCTTGGCACTAGCTGGAGGTAAGTGGTCAGCTTCTCGCCACAGCCACTTTATTCCCAGTACAAGAGCTTCTGGTATCCATTGGATAGGAGGCTGTGTGGGCACCAGAGCCAGTCTGGACTACATGGAGAAGAGAAAATCCTTTACCCTACTGGGACTCAAACTCCGACCCCATGGTCATCCAGCCCATAGCTAGTCGCTATACTGACTATGCTATCCCGGTTTCTCTAGCATGAAAATAGCACATTTTGATATAATTTTGTACAGCCATTATTAAGGAAATCCTGTAAGTTCTGATAGTGGTAATTATCCTTTTTTAATAAAACTTTTACACAATGAATGAGACACATTAAGTAGAAGAAGAGTGAACCCTGGAAGTATATACTGCTGAAAACCTAAAACTTTGAATGTAAGCACTGGATGGCTGTACCCAAGACTTGCAACCGGATATTGGGAAATAGGACTGAGAGGTATCAGGATCAAATCTTGGCTGAAGCAGTTATCCTGACTCTGGTTTCTACGATGTTATTCAGTTCATTCAGGTGAAATCTGAGACAGTACCTCAGATTAGACAAAGACTACCTTTTACTTTGCTTTATATTTTTTTAGATTAATTGGAAATTGTAAACAATCAGTATAGTCATTAATATTTTTTCTCTGCTGTGATTACAGAGATGTTTGACAAAAAAACTCACTTCATTGATGAATAAAAGTTTAAGGATTTGCTACATTAGCAGCTGAAGTTCAGACTTACATGGTCATAAGTATCCTTAATCAAGTGCCATATTCTGTTCCTTTGATTTAATCTGATTTATTGACAGTATTATTTATGTTATTTTTCATTTTGCCTCAATTTATTTAATAAGGGTTACGGATAATATGTTAGTAAATATTAGAATTGTGTTAAAGTGTGTTATAGAATTCTGAGTGCATTAATTTAATTTCATCTTAATTGCTTATCTCATAAGGAGTGACATTTAAAACTAAATGAGAATGTATTCTTGACAGGATTTATGGAAGGTGAATAAATGAAATGAAATATGTTTCATGTAAAATGAATAACACTTGTAAAATAATGTTTGTCAAATAAGTGTGTTTCTTTATTTACTGTCGTTATTTATTAATTTTTCTTCGTTATAGCTCACATGTTTGGTAGCGACATGCATTTCTAGAAAAATGGTCTGTTCCTGCAGACTGCAATACTTCTTATAATTTACATTAAAAAATTAATGTTTTACAAGAAGGTGAACTTCATGTGCATGAATATTAGCAAAGAAGTACATCCAGATACAACTTATTGAAGTAAATACATCTTAAATGTATTGTAACATGTCTAGCTAAGCAACAGCTCGATAAACATCTTACTGAAGCGCGTGACAAAAGTACATGATCATTGCTAGGCAACGACTCAGTATACATGTTCCAGCAACCACACAACAATAGGAGCTGTGTTCTTTGTGACTAATTGCTAGGTTATGCAACTTTTCTGACAACAGAAGCGCTATTTCCTGTGTGGTCCATGCAGCCAAGATGGACGCCACCCAGGCAGTGCTGGCCAACATGAACACTGAGATGAAGGCCTGGTGAGAAGAGATGAAGGCCTGCCAAGAAACAGTGGTGGTCTATCCAGAAAAAATGGAGGCAGAGCCAGTTGAAATGAAGTCTGTAGCGATGCACGAGGAATTCCATAAAAAAGATGCCACAGTGAAACCTGTCAGAGGACAGGAAGTGGCACAGGGGCCTGAATCTGGCCACAGAACACCGCCAGGAACCAAGGGAATAGACCCGGGTAAATGGTGGATCCCAGAAGAAGTTGGCTGCTGCCTGTAGGAAGGTGTCCCATCGTGCAAGAGTGGCATGGTGCAAGAGGAACATTGTCACAAATAATTGGATCAGGCACATGGCTGAGCGAGGAACCTGGAGAGCAGAGATTCTCAGAAAGAAACTACAGACACACCATGGAGAAAGAAGAGTAAGGCAGGGCATAGGTGGCAGACAGTTGTTATTTATCAAGAAGGAGTGGACAACCATGATCGGCATCAGAGGTTGGAGCTCAGGACAGCGACCACATCTAGAGAGTGGAGAAACACTCTACATGACCCTAAGAAAGACCCTATATGAGATCGACAGCATGAAGTTCGTGAAGCAAAAAGCCAGAACTTATGCCTCATGGCAGAAAATCAAGGACTGGGCATTGTGGAGGGGTTGTCCCCCTCCGAAACGGAACCTACTAGCAGTGTTAGCGTAAGAAGAGCCAGAAATGTGGGAGCACCAGCCACTCTAGGTAATTTCACCCCCACCAATTCGAAAAAGGAAGAAGACCTTTGGATGATGGTAATACACCTGGATCTACTGGCACCTTGGCAGGGAGCCGCTCAGGCGAATGGCCTTAAGGAGGGAGCAATGGTAGCGCTTGGAGAATGAGCATCACAGGGGAGAAAAAAAACACACAGCCATTGGAAGGACAGTGAGACCGACTGCAGACGTTGAAAGCACAGCCCCTGGAAAGGAAGGAAAGGTGATACACTGTTAGGCTATTTGGAATGAATAGCCTTAAGGAGGGAGCAATGTAAAATATATAGCAAGGCAACAGCACGATAAACACCTTCTCACTTAAGCTCATGACAACAATACATGATCATTGCTAGGCAGCAACTCAGTATACACATTCCAGGAACCACACAACAGTAGGAGCTGTGTTCTCTGTGACAACTACTCAACTATTCTGACAACAGAAGATATTTTCTGTGTTGTCCGTGCCATGGCTGTATAACAAAGTTCCAGAATGTTTGGCAACTTAGTGTGGTCCAGCTTATGACCGTTCAAATGAATAAGTTTTCATTTTAGCTTAAGATATGTAAGTTAGGCATGATCTGCTCTGTAAAGCCTGTACTGACAGAGGACTTGTGTATAGTGCAAAAGGAAGAATTTTCGATAACTTGTGATATGTGCGAAATATACGCTTGCCGAAAGGTCAAGTGTATTCAAAAGAGACAAACCCATCTTCTCGTCAGAGAAGATTTTACATAAGGACTATTACCCCAAGAGTTCAGCTGGGAAAAAAAAAATCTCTGGTTGTGGGCCTCAAGGGGCCTGACGCCAAGACGAACTGATTGGTGATAAACTGCCAGTTGTAAGATAACTCTGACTCTGACTCTGGCAACTCAGTTGAGTTCCAAGGTTCCAAGGCAATTGAACAAGAAATAGCAAGAAGACTTTATAGTGATTTGAAGTGCTAGTTTCTGTGTTGAGATCTGTTGCCAGGAGACGACTAGTGGATACTAAGAATCCTAGTGCATGTGCAATAGTGGGCTGGAAAGTGTGTAAATCAGTGACAGTGTTGTATTGATTGTAATGAAGAGAGATTGTAACCAAAGTGCCAATAAATCCAATCATCCAATCTTGGAACACCTTATATTTGTCACGTGTCCCTCCTACATGTGACAGTATAACAGCAGTGTAATCTCCATTTCCTGTAAAAGCGTACAACAGTTTAGTAGTGAGACTGGCATTACTTGGATATGCTCACAGCTACCATACGCCTGTCATGAATCTGAATGAATGCAAAAGCATGCACAGATCCAGTGCTCATGAATCAAAATAAATGACTTTAAACTATTTTTAGCTTACTCTTATTAAATAAACATAGGTTCTGCTACTCATACTGTTACATACTGCCAGGCAAAAATAAGGACTACATAGAACTATACTTAATTCACCACTTTATGAGGTATGTGTACACTTGTATATTCCATTTTATGAATTATGTCTTAAACTCTGAAAGAAACAAAATCTACTTCTGTAGCCCATGTAGGTTAGATTTTCTAAACTTATCCTACTATCAGATACTAACTTAAGTGCAAATAAAATGCATCCAGTATTCAGATTATAATATATTCCAGAAACTATTCTGCACATGTGCAACAATAACTAAATTACAATGGTAAATGCAGATAAAATAATTCCTTAGACAGGAATTTTAAATTATGTAAAACATTTTTATTGTACGTAAAGGTATCTAGTGAACCTGTTAATATGCACGCCACATTTCCAGAATGAAAGAATCACAGATATAGTTTGAATGACTGTTGTAGCAAATGTTATCATGTCAGTTATATGATATTTACTTTTCTTGTAATGTGTTATTTGCAGTTAGAAATAGGAGTGTCATTATATTTTTTGGGACTGCTTTAAATTTTATATATACACACATTATTTTAATTAATGTTTATTTTAGCTGTATTTTGTGTAAAGTATATTTTTAGCCATTCTTTATTCCTAACACAGTTGTATATATAATTTTGAATATATAATATAAGGAGTTTTTAAAAGGAGAATCTAAAACTATGCAAATATTCATTTTTTGGTCAAAAATGCTAATATTAAATCACTTGAAAAACTTAATCAAAAGTAATAATTCCAGGTTGTCCTCATATCAAAATTTGGATGCTGAGAATAAAGTAGAAAACAAAAGGAAGAAACAATTATATTTCTTGATTTGAGGCAAAAGAAGGATCATATGAGGTTAAACACATTTAAAGAAATCATGCTTATGTGATTTAATTATACACTTCATAAATTTTTAGATCTTTAAGGACAAAATGCATAAATGTGGAAAAGAAGAGCATTTGCCTTGATTTCTAAGATACCTTATTTAACTCCCAGATAAGAAACAATATAATTTTGAGTGGGAGTTTTCTTGAATTTTCTACGTCACTCGATGAAATCTGACATTGTAACTCAATTCAGATAGTAATCTGGGACACATAAATAAGACAACACTTCTGGTAGAGAAAGAACTTGGGTGAGCAGTCTAGTATTATTACACTGGTATTTGCATAGACATTATGTGTACCCACATTCAAGATATATCAGTCCATTTGACATTTGTAGTGACTCATATATGTGATTTTTCATTTATCTGAAGTAAAAGCTGCATTGGTTATATGGCATGAGGTTACAGTACAAGGTGATAATAAATTAATTGGAAAGGACTTGAGAGGAAGCTGTCATTTTAATGTTAAAGCAGGTGGTTTTTATCCTTTTTAATCTTTCATCCTTGATATGTTTCGGTCTGAGACCATCTTCAGAAGGACATATCAGTACAAGTGGAAACTACTATTACAACGTGATTGGTAGTAACAGTAATAGTAGTTTCTGCTTGTATTGATATGTCCTTCTGAAGATGGTCTCTAAGACTGAAACATGTCAGGGATTAAAGATTAAAAAGGATAAAAAACAATTATTAATCACACTGGACCGAGTTGATAGTCTTTCATAATTCAATTGGGATAGCCAGTCTTCAGGCCCCAATTGCAGCCCAAGTTTAAACATGGGGTGGTGACCGCAACATGAAGACATATGGGGCAGAACCTAAACAGAAGCGTCCATTCTCAAATTTCTGTACTGTTTAATGTGTCTTTCTTTCTTTCTTTCTTTCTTCAAAAAGTGTCCAAAGTAACTTGTTTTTGTTCTTCAAATTTCATATCATAATTTGCAACAGGTGTTTATCTGTGGATGAATGTATAAGAGGTGGGCCATAATAGTCCAGCCCTTGCACTGCAACCATCAATGATGTATTGTGCTTCCCCTTCCCATTTGTGGATAATCTTATTAGTGGTTAGTTTGTGGGGAGGGGTGTCAAACTTACATATGCATTTTGTATACTGTACTTAATATATGGATATTTAACTCTGTAATTATGAGAATGCTTGTTACTAAGCATTGTTTATGGCATTAATAAACATTGTGAGAAAATTATAATGTGCAAGCCACAAATATACAAATAATGTTGGGTTTTACACACACATAAAAGTCTCAGGATATGTAATCATCTTATAGGTACTGTGGCTTATTATCACATTGAATGAGTGTACATTATATATACCCACTTTTGCTCTCCATGTAATGTTTCACAAGAACTCTTTGAAGCTATTATTTGTTGAGTATGTCAGTGGTATTGAAACTGTAAAAGAAATATACTGATTTTCTAGTCCAATAAAATAATTTAATTAATTTAACATTGGCTTTCAGTTATTATGCATTCTTTGTACAATATGTATGCATGTATGGCTAGTGATGTTTGCATTTTTCAACCCAAGAACCGCTGCATGGATTTTCATGAAGGACATTCTGCCATTCTGGCTACCTCAAACTCTTTATTTTAAATTGGATTTGAGATTCTCATTGCAGTGACTGAAGATGTCTTCTGGGATATCATGTCATGAAGTCTAGTGGAAGTTTGCCAGTGTTTCAGAGGAACATACTGTCTCCATCTTGAGGGCTGAAGAGAAAGTCAAGTGCATATAACCAGGTGACTACTCGTTTGGCCTGGAGAGGTGGAAGAGTAAGACCATGAAAACCATGTCAAGATTGCTGCCCCCTGATAAAGATTTGAACCTGGGACTTCCTAAATATTTACTGCAAGATTAAAATTGCCAAACTCTGCATCAAGAAATTACAGCCCTTGAGGTCCACTGAGCTCATTCAGGTTTGGTAAATAAAGTTTACTGCACATAAACTACAATGTATGTTAATTAGCGATATTAAATGGGGTAATGATAGTTTCAAACCAGTCTGAGGCATTCAGGCAAGATTTTAATACATAAACCAACCATACACTTATGTCCCTTCCTGCCATCTTTTCTTATAACCCTAAAATATGAACACATGAAGCCATAGTCATCTAAATATAATAGGCCAATGCTTATAGCTACTTGTGTCCCACCTACATATTATAGGCAACATCTGATGACTTACTTAACAGTGTCTCTGGACAATGCTGTGTTCCAGAATGTTCCATGTATTTCCTAACTACAAACAAAACAAAGAAAACTCCATGGCCTGTAGTCCGCAAGCAAACTATAGCAACAGAGCAACCGCCGCTTGTCAGTGAAGTTAGTGCAAACTTTTGCAGATAGAGGGTGCCACATCATCAGCACAATGGTTCCCCACTGCCATTAATCTCGGTTTTCTAGATTGAAGCCGCCATTTCCTTGAAATAGCTTCTCAATTATCCTCATTAGACTGAGTGGACCCTGTTTGAGACCCACTACTTCTCAGAAAATCTTGTAGTGCTGGGAATTAAACCCAAGACCTCTGACCACTAGACCATAGAGGCAGTCATTTCCTCACTACATGGAGACAAAATTCGCTACATGAACTTTTACAGTCACAGCAGGAAGAATGTCTACATAATCACATGCTGAGATATTGCTCTTTCTGTTGTTTTGCTTTATACCATTTCCATATGCATGATGTTGCTTTATATTGCTGGAGTGTGCATGTTATTTAGCATGTGAACATCTTTTGTTTCCCCACTCCAAAGGCAATAAGTTGCTTCCTGATTCTTCCTGAAATATCACCCCATTTCAGTTTTACATTCTTTTGCTTTAGGTCTTATGGCATGTCCTCCCTATTTGAGATTACCTTCCAACAACAATTTCTCTTTTCAGTGTTGTCAGACAGGTCAGCCAATGTGAAAAAATTGTTCACACACAACTTTTATTCTTGAACTTCCACCTTTATAGCGAGATCTTTTATTATGGCATAAGTAGTAGTCACATAATGTTCTGGACCATGTCTGTCCATTTCAGGTCTATCTTCATGTTACATGTGTACCCAACAGAATCACATAATTTGAACATTTTGATATCTAAATGTTTGTGGTTTTAGGAACACATTATATGCCCAGATAATACATGTGCCTTTCTAAGGCATGTTCACAATCCTACCAAGCAGCTCTTCAGTTCACTCTGTTAATCGATCTGTATGCACAAAACAATTCGATATTGGAGAATTATGTGAAAACTCAGTCATTTAAATTTTCACATATATCAAATAATCAAAACCACTTTATGTGGTGACCTACGTGTCTTTCTGTGTATGTCTTGAGTTTAATTTCCTAAATATTTTTTAGAGTGAAAGCAGGTTTCAAACAAAAACTGCAAAAAATTACACATTTTTTATTACTTTATTACTTTACAGTCATTCACATGGGATCTCAAAATATAAATGAGGACCAAGTAAAATTGTTACATTGCATCAGCGCCCAATAATTTTTCGCAAAGCTGATAATATACTTTTCAAGTGTGTTTTACAATAGATCATTTTGCATGGCAAGCACTTAATCAAGTATAAATGTTTCCATAAAATTAAATTGAAGTCTGAATGCAAGAGGAATTCATACCTAGTGTCATATGTACCACTAAATCACAAACAGTCCCTGTAATAAACACTTCTCTATGCCATAGACTACATTACAAATGAAGAGTTCCAAACATAAGTTACAAAAATGGCATTTGCATGACAGCTCTGATGACACAACTAGAAGTTTTCTCATTTATTTTGGAGATTATTAATTGTTGCACAAATGCTAATAAGGCAAAGCACAAATTATAAGTTCATCTGCTTTTCACGGCTCTCAGTCCAAGCTTTTGCAATGGTTCTTTTCATGTCATCATCTCCGTCTTCATACATCTGCCTCATCATATCCATTAGTCCAGCTGATGGATCATCATTATGGTCAAGTTTAGGTACACGTGGCTCATTAGCTTTCTTCTCATACCCCGTCATGTGTGACCATTTGGTTCCAACCTTCTTTTTTGCCAGAAATATGACAATATTGTCTGGAAGGCATAAGATTACAAATATTTATGTCATACTTCTGACTAAACATGGTCAAAAATGTACAAGGTCTGGTTAAAAAGAAAAAGTCTTTATGTTTCAGTGTAGAAATGGTCAACACTGATAAGCTGGCATGTATTAGATCAACTGAATATGTGATATATATATCACAGTTTGAGAAAAATAGATACTGAGATTCAGTGTGCTTTGCAGTTCTAGTAAATGACCTTTATTAGTGCGGTGTTTTGTTGGCTTCTGCAAAGAGAAAACTATGTTCCTATCTTTCAGCAACACTGTTGGATGAATATGACAAAAAAAAATACAAGCACTCATATTCAATGGTGGTGAGACTTTGGTCTTCTAGTGTGACCCAGAAACAATCACACGTCTCCAATGGAGAATTCTACAGCCCCAGAGAGTGAAACAATGTGAAAGTAAAACTCAGCAGTCAAAACCACACTAATATGCTTTTTAATACTGAAGGATTTATCCATTATGAATTTGCTGTTCCCAAGTAAGCAAGTTTTGGAACATATTTGTTGAAGAAATGAAATCTCTGGTTATATAAATTGATCTTGAATCATTAAGGTATTTTTGGAAAATAACTCTGAGAAATGTTTTAATGCATGGCAAGATGGCTGAATATGTGTATAAGTCATTATTCTGGAGGGATTGGGAAAAACAACAGAGACCTCTGTCAGTATTGCTTGTCACCAGACAGTGTTCTTATAAATTTCCTGAATAAGTAGTTGAAAACACAAACCAATTAATGTCATTCTGTGACAAATGTGACATCATCATCATTAGGATATTCTCACTAAAGACATTAATTAATCTTCACGCATAAACACCAAAGAACCTGTAAAACATGTAGTTCATCACAATTGGTAAAGTAAATCTTGGTAAACTGATGTTGCAAGGGGAAAACTGTCACTTCAGTAATTCGTTTCCCAGCCACCTTCTCCCCCACACTGTGAGTTAAAAAGTAAAAATTACTCTCTTGCTTAATAGGTAAATGACATACCTGTTTTCACCTTCCAGTGACTTTTATCAACATCTACTTCTTCCAGTAGGTTTCTTATGGGCAGAGTGTAATTTCGATTGTCCAAACCATTCACCTTCAGTTCCACAGACCTGGAGAAAATGGAAGAAAGGCACATCAGCAAGATCTACAACCACAATTGAAAACTGTACAGTACTAAAGCACAGTAAGATCTTACCTGTTGGTAAATACACAAAACACATCAGCTGCATCCAAGGTTTGTACATTTTTTAATGTGACAAATATTTTCACAAATTTGTCTGACTGATCCCATGCTGAAATAAAAAAATAATGTAAAAAATCATTTATAAAATTAAGGTAAACCTGCTCTTAATTAAACCTCACCCCATGAAGACATGGAGGAGTGGATGTAGAGGTCCATATATTCTTAACCTGAGCACTATATGGGGGTCAGTGGTCAGCCTCATCAGCTTCACACCCCAGCTGCTTTGCTCCTGGGTAGGAGTCTGAATTGGCCTCAGAGCCAGACTGGACACTCTGAAGAAGAGAAAAATCTCTTCCCCTTGCTGAGGATCAAACCCCAATTCCTTGGTTGGCCAGCCAGAAAAAAAAAAAATTGTTTGGTTTGTATGAAACAGATGGAGTGAGATGCCCATCTTATTTCTAGCGGATTTAAACAACTATACTGCTCTCATATTCAGAGCTCATGTATTTTTTTTCCTTGGCACTATAGCCCCAGTGGGCCTAGGCCTACCTCCATGAACTTCTCCGTTCACTTCAGTTTTTATAGATGTTACACATTCGGTAGGACTCCTTGGGAGGGTGATCAGCTCGTCGCAAGGCCTCTACCTGTACACAAACACAGAAAAACGCACACACACAAACTAAACATCCATGCCCTGAGTGGGGTTCGAACCCACGATCCCGGTTTCCAAGCGAGCGAAGACAGTACATGCCTTAGACTGCTCGGCTACCGTGACCGGCTGAGTTCATATATAGTAGTAGTATTTTCTAGAAATAGGTAGCAATTACTGAATTTCATATTCTGTAGCATTGCATGCACTGTCAGTAGGCAACACTTAGAACAGGTAAATTAAAAATGACAATAGGGGGAGGGAGGGCTTCTGAAGTATGATTTACCAATTTTTACAATAAAGTGCAAGTTGTCATAAATATGTATCTACACACTGAAATCAATGAGAAATTGAATTAGACTACAAATAACTTATAATGCCACATTCCCTTTCAATGCTTCCATTCGTATAAAAAGGGTTAGGTCAAATCATTTGCAAGTTGATCTTCTTTGTTATAAATTTCCTGCATATGAATGTTCTCTGATATCACCACAAAGACCCACATCACTGATGCGTTTGTGACATCCATCTGCATAAATAAAAGAGTAATTTAATGTCTGCTCCATGTCAGTTACATTGACTTCACATGAACACCAATGAAGGCTCCACTTCGACAGCTTGCAGTCACATGTTGCACCCTTAAGACGTCATTCATAGACAGAATGCGTGCTTTGGGACAGAACAGCTGGACAAAGAAAGTTGTATACCATGAAGTTTTGGAATGTGAGGTACAAATATAACATTACATTTAATTTTGAACGTATCTCTTTCAAGTCTACAAGATGAGAGATTTCGAGATCATGAACATTACTGCTATTGGCCAATTGTCACAGGCATACATATTTCCACATGGGGATTGTCAGTGCAACATACAGAAAAGTTGCATACATATGTAGCATACACTGTACCTTACCAAACTGAAAATCCTTTCAACTCTACCAATATTAAAATGTTAATACTACAACCAATTTGAAAATTAAATTTGAATCACGCTGACAAATGACTATCACCTCAGCTCTTGTGTATATGAGGAGAGCACTGGGATAAGGAATGCTGTCCCCTCTCCAAGTACATCTGAAGAACATTATATTTCAAAACTGTAAGCCTGATCCTTGTAATTTAAGAAGCTATGAACATATACGCTACATATTATAGTGAAGGCATAGCATATCAAGTCTTGTTCAAGTGACAAAAATTCATATTCTTACCATAGTTATTGAGCTTCACTTCATAACATTTTGGCTTGGATATCAGAATTGAATTGACAGGTGTTTCAGGAACTGAATCTTTCTCAGATAACTCCTTCAAAGTTGTGATTTCAGTCTCAAGTTTGCGAATTTCAATTGAAAGGACATCTTTAACTTTCTGCCGTACTGCTGTGCTAAAAAATTTGTTTAATTCTGCAACATCAAGCCTGAGCTGTAAAGGAATTAAAATTATTTATAAAAATTTAATTACAAATAAGTTACAAATACAAAGTACAGTTTAGAAATTTTGTGTATTGTGGTACCAGCATGTAGTTGGTAGGTAGCAGAGTGACTGTATGTGTTCACACAGTGCTGAGCTAGAGCTACAGCCCCAGATTGTTGAGTTTCAACATAAAGAAGCGACTAATTCAGACAATTCAATTCCAGCCCTTCCTGATGTCTAGACTAGAAGAAATGTAAAGCTAAAATTAAGTATGACTTAAAAGTATTAATATTGCAAGCAGTAATAATGACACCAATGATTGTTATGGAATAACTTCTTGTCATGAATGAATCAATGGTCAAAAAGGATATACTACCTGCTTTGGATCTACAAAAGTTCATGTCAATGAGAATTATCTGTCAGTTCTGCATCTTACTGCGTCCCTGTCCTCACTGTGCTAGGGGCACCTCTACTTCGTAACAAATGATATGATTAAACCACCAGCACTGTTTTAATGTGCATAACAAAATGTTGTCAGAAAATCATTTCTCTACTTTTAATGTCCCAGCAGTCAGAAAAACTAAGTCCTTCTCTCTCTAACAAAGACATTTTCTCACATTCACTTGTTATGTTTTGTTTTTTATATTTTTTTTATACAATGAATGGTATGAAACCCAATTTGCATTCTAGTGGGAATTCATCCAGAAACTACTGCTGTTGGCAGTACTCTTAACTTCCCTGTGTAATTTTATGCTATTTTTTTTTTAATTCATGGGGTGGAGTGAGGCTGAGTTCACTTGGTACTGGGGCCTCCCGTTCCAGACCCAGCAGTTGGAGTGAGAACTGGTAGGGGAAACAAAGTATTCGGAGTAAACCTGCCCCAGTACCACTCAGCACACAACAAATCGCACATGACCTGACGATGGATTGAACCTTCTGCTACCTTACTTCACATCCTCAGTTTTTGGGTTTGATACCACGAAAAAAACTGGGTATATGCTTACTTCCTCTAGCTTCGAAGACATTACTTCGGACTTCCTTCTCAAGTCACTGCTGTCACTGTTCTCTATTTTAATTTCTTCGCTCCCTTTGTATAATCGACAATGTTTATAGTACTTGGCCTCACTATTAGCTCAGCGTTACTTTCTGGCACTTTCCTAATCAAACTACATTCGAGAGTTCGAGAGAGACACCAACTGCACTAACGCTCCGCACACTTCTCGCTAGTCAGCGTAGTAAGCGATAGTAACGGATCGTAACGGCTAGAAGGGCTAGAACGTTCCAGCACATTCCAGTGGCGAGCCACTTAGTCTCTCCAAATTCTGTACGATAGCGGCACAGAACTCATGTAATGATAATTAACAAAACTTACATACGAGATGGCGTACGGTGTTACATTTCAAATGAACATGCTAATTAGTTTCATCCATCTCCACAAGAGTACAGCACGGAATTACGTGATGGAATGTGATAATTAACGTTCTTTAATACGAGATGGCGTATGGTGCTGCGTTTCAAGTGCCTAGCGGTTTGTCAATAACTAAAGGTTGTCGAACAGCTTCTTTAGCTCTTGAGCGCTTGGAACCCACTAAACCCACTGAACACTGTGGCAGCAGTGATACATATATGACGTACTTGACGTTCATGACGTTCATGACTTCTGTGTTCTTCATGAGGTTCATGAGGTTCAGTTCATGACGGCGACAGTAGAAGTATGCGTCATGTGTTGTTCGTGGTTTTCAAGATGGCAAATGTTTAACCTGAGTTGCTTTAATTGATTCGTAGACTTTACGTTCAAGGTGATAACCAGCGCATGTTATCTACGTAGAAGGTTGCCATTCCGTTTATTTTTGACAGAAAAGTACTGTTAATACGAGTAGCTACTTCCAGAATTTACCATACAACTGTGTTATTATTTGCAATTTACAATGTTGATCACCGAACACAGCCAAGACTTGTCAATGGACTTATCCGGCATGTTTCTTTCCGATTTATCTCCCACCGATGATACTTTTAATTTCGGTAAGTCTTCTTAATTCTGCTCGTTATTTTTATGAATATAACATTCATGTTCTTTTTTTAGATACATCATATACAGGATATTTTTCGTGTAAATTTGGCTCCAAATTTTAGAATATTCAATATAAAAGGCATCTAGTGTGTAATGCGGTGTAGCTACCGCCCCTCGACTTGAAATTGAACGATGCGTATGTAATGGAACATTCGGTGTTTTCTGCTTACGTAGTAGTTTTGTGTGACAATCAGTGAATAAGGGAATGTTTCATAAAATTGTTTTAAATTCATTGTCATGAATGATGTGTAGTTTGATAAGCTGGTGATAATCTGGTAAGAACCCATAAAATGAAGGGATCGAACACCAGTTTCATATTCCGGGAGGCCCTTGTTGGAATCTCCACCAGAAGGTTGGCTACCCAGGTGAAAATGAAATATTTGTGGGTCTGAGGGGTAAAGCAGCCAGGGCGTGTGGCTGACCACTCACCACCATCTAGTATCAAGGATATGAATGCATGGATCCACCACCATTCTCCCATATGTGTAGCATGCTTAATTAATTAAGCACAGGAACAACTTTATCTTCGAACTTCATGGTTGCAACACAGAGTAGCCATTTAGGTGGATACCATTTTTCAGATAATCCAGCTGTCTCCATTTTGAGCATCATGAAGGCTGAGGAAGTACACTTCCCCAAAATGCTGGTATCCACTTTGAAGACCACATGTTCTCACAACCCATAAGATCACAATGTAAATATGTCCTGTCTATGTTTATGATCAGATGGTATAGTGACTGGCTATGGGCTGGATAACCAGGAATCAGAGTTCAAGTCTTGGTAGAGGCAAGATTTTTCTTCTTTCCATGTTGTCCAAACAAGAAATGGGACCCACCCAGTCTCCTATCCAATGGGTACTGGGGGTTCTTTACCCAGGGTTAATATGGCCGGAGTGTAAAGCTGACAACTAACTCCCAACCGCTACTGAGGTGAAACAATACGTGGATCTATACATTCACTCCCCCATATGCTTCCATACTGCTTAATTAGTTAAATGCATGCGACAATTCTATATGTAATAATGCAAATGCCGTTGTGAATGCAACAATTTATTTGATTGTAGTTCTTTGTCTTTTCTTCCTCTACACTACATGTTTCGGCTGTAATTGGCCATCATCAGGTGTATTTTTCACTATGTAGCTGTCACACTGCACACAGTCCAAAATCTAAAACATCAGCCTGTCAGTTTTGTTTAAAATCACGCCAAAACACGCTCGGCAATTTGATTTTAGAATTCCAGTTTAAAATTTAAAATTTCTAAAATTTAAAGTTTTAAATACCATGGACACCTGCTCTTGTCTACATGTGCTGCAGCGGCGGCACATTCTAACTTAACTAATGGACGTGATTTATTCTGACCGTCTTACAGTGCATACATTTATTCACCTCACTCTTCTCTCTTGCACTACCTGTTTCAGCACTAAAGTGCCATCTTCAGGTGCTTTTCTATGTACGTCGAACTACTTCATTGCATGCCCTGTTGTCTTTATACTAAAATAACTAAAATATATATTCGTCATATATAATGATAAATTTTAAATATTAAAACTGTTCAGGATTTGTCATCCTTATGTCGTATCTCAATACGCAAGTCATACCTATCTTCTTCTATTGGAGTATTCTTCCTATTTTCATGTGTGTATTGTGCTTTGTGATGTGTCTTGCTCCTGTGACTGCGTGTGTTATACTGAGCAGTATATGTAATGAAAGGATATGTAATAAGATTATAGAATTTCAGTGGACAGGACGTTATGATTTGATGTACATGAAGACAAAAGAACTAGGATGGAAAGAGAACCATGGGATTCAAAATATTGGCATCGAAGACTCCCAGGGGAATAGAATAGTAGATCAGAGGCAAGTGCTGAAAATTTGGGAAAATTATATTACAGAACTATATGATCGACCTAATCGGTCAGAAACCTT